TGAAAGAGGCATTCAGTCCGGATCTGACACTGTTGTGTCTTAAAGTGCCTTGGAGCATTTAGACTTCATTTTGATCAGAAATGAAAAGTTGAGCATTTCAGAACATTTCAGACTCTCTTTCCACGTTCCCTTGGCAGTTCATGCCAACTCGCCCATAACATGGGTGAAGAGAAGAAAAAAGGTCAAGGGTCATGGACTCCGCACATGGCGGCAAAGCGCTGCAGCCTGGAAGTTTGAGTCGGCGATAGTCGCATTTGGGTTAAGCGAGCTAAAGCGTCCGTGATATATATCCTAGCAACTCTGCTGCTCTGCCAGCGCCCACGTAGGAGGGTGCGCTCCATGTTGTGGTACGTATCGAAGTCAAAGGACGCTCCGCCGCGGCGGATGGAATAGCCCCTGAATCGAAAGTTTTCGAGGTTGAAGTGTGTGAACAACCAGTCAAGGGACTCTCGAAATGATTGGTCCGACCGGTTCCAAATTGGTCGCTCATGATCCTTGTGTGGAAGCATTGGAAGTACGGTCCTCAGAATGTCCAAAACTCGAATGTCATGCAATTGAACCATTTCGTCGTAGTTTGAAGCTGTCTTGGTGTCCCGCAACCGGAGCACTCCACGTTGACCTTGTACGAGAATGTCAGCGGGTGAAACTTTGAGTAACTCACCTGTCCTCAACATTGCGTGAAAGCCAAGCGCTAGAAGTGCTGCCATTCGTGGCCAATCTCGAATCGAAAAGCCTACTAAACCCCATAAAATGAAAGAAGGTAGGGGCGGAGCTCGATCCGGTTTCTCGACCCGCCGCCAAGTTCGAAACAGCCTCCAGGCCTCTGGAATGCGAGTGTGGGCCAGCGGGAGGTGGAATGAAAGGCCACAGAGCGCGTCGGAGACGCTGCCTAAAGACTCGCCCTCACGCCATTGGGATTCTACCCAGTCGGCAAGCTGTTCGTCAAGACTTTCCCAGCTACAAACAACCTGCACAATGTGCAAGATTCGTCTTAGCCCCGCGTAATAACGCGTCCGGGTCTTAGCGGAAATCCCAGCATCATGGAGCGACAGGCCAGCCCGTCGCCGGCGGCGAACTCGTCGCCAGTGCTCCCTCGGAGAAAGATCTCGAGCCTTCATCTGTGGGATTGTCGAGTGAAGCTACATGTAACAACACAGGGTAGATTTGGCCTAACAAGAACACTGCATTACACTTTCGGACAAGGGGTTCAAGACGGCGTGATGAGGTCCTACCCTTGGAAAGGATACTAATAGTGACATACGAGTCAGATAGGTGTACCCATCGAAGTCCGAAATGCTTGCGGTCCCGCAAAAGCCATAAAAGTGTGTTATAAGCTTGCCTCATCTCGAGTCCGTTGATGTGTTCGGTTATCTGCCAGCGGTTCTGGAAAAGGAATTTCCAAACCCACCAGCCGGATGGAACGCTTTGGCGAACCGGGTTCTTCTTTCCTAGGAACTCACCAGTCAAAAGTCGCACATCTGCACCTGTTGTGTCAGTGCGCATCAAAAAGACCTTGTTAAGCTCCCGAACGCAACTCTGTTGGGGGGCACACGCAAAAAGACCATACATGAGAGCTCGTCGAACCGGTGCGGCTACCTCCCAAGAAAGACCAAAACCGGGTGCTAACCCCAAGCGGGAGACAAGATGCGACACGGAGAATACCCCTGGTTTCCAATTAAATCCGCAAGCGAGCACGACCCCAAAGCTGAGCATTGCGAACGAGTCCCCTAGCAAAGACAGTCGGGTGTCTTCGAACCCTCGAATGTCGGTCTTGACCGCGTTCGCTCCCCAGCAAACCTCCGTGTGCCCCCAGCCGAAGCCCATCAAGAGCTCCCTCTCGGTCGAGTCTAGGAGTCGCCAACGCTCATTTCGCCAGAGCACGAATTGGGATCGATACTGGTATGGCGGAAAACGAAACCCGTCGGCTGTCCATCGTCCAATGGTGTCGTCGTTGCACCTAGCTAAACCGACCGGGGCGGGGGGAGGTGCCCTTCTAGGGATTGACTTCATGAACGTTGCAAAGACGGTGCCTTCACTTTCTCCGGGCCAAGACCATTCTGGCCGGATCCATTGCTCAGTGAGTACTTGCCCCCCTGAGCAACTGACTTCGAAATAGCCGCCGCGATCGGCCCATTCGAGTCCAGGGAGTTCTCTCCTGGGGAAAGAGCACCACGTGAAACGTGGCCGAGAAATTGGCAGCACGTCCGAAGGATTAAGCTTCCAAGGCTTTACCCCTATAAGTTCAGTGATCTGGTCCCGCGCCGAAACGTCCATCGACGCGACATTCTCAAAGATGAAGTTTACTTCAGTTTGGAAAGGGAAGATCGTCTTGACTTCTCGGAGCACTCGAAGAGCTTCATGGATCAGCGACGAATGTCGTCCTCCTAAGTTTGCCCGATTATACTTAGCAGCAGACAAGTCTACACAAGGGAAATCCGACCAGACGTCCACCCGCGAGATCCCCGAATACCGAATGGCGAGCTTTCGAATGACCTCAGTGGTCACACTCCGAACGTCTCCCAAGTTCTCTGCTCCCGGCCACCGCCGCGTAGTGACGCGGTTTGCACTAGGGTCAATTTCAGAGTACACCAAACCTTCACAAGCAATTCCTAACAGGTCGTAAGCTCTAAAGGCACCACCGATGCCATTGAAAAGTGAGATTACTAAAATCTTAGCTTTTTCCGGCTTCGAATCCGATGCTTGGGCGGCTGCTAGAAAATTGCGTCCTTCTGGTGTGAGCTCGCGTGCCACTGCGGATGCCCCTCCTTTGAGACTTGCATCCGAGCACGTTACTTCCTCTGCGAGTTCCGCTCGAAGGTCTTGTCTCATGAGGGGCAAGAGGAGCAAACAGTTAAAGAGCTCCCGTCTCACTGCCGGCAACAAACGAGCTCGGCGTTTCGGGTGCACGATGTACTCCCAGGTCCGGCTGAGTGCAGCCATGGTAGGACGTCTAAAGGACATTAGGAAAATCACCCTGCCTACCACTGTCTGCAGCTCCTTCACACTAAAAGAGTAACAAAGTAGGTAGAGAAGCAGTTTTGCCGTTTTGTAAACCCTTTGGGGTGAACCTCCAAACAAATGATTTCTCCCGTCCAGGTGTCCTCCTAGTTCAGTCGCCTCCTCAGCCCGAATGACGCGTTTCTTCGAAGAGCTAACTATGCCCGCACTAGCCCAAGCCTCCTCGGCCCGAACATGAAACTCCTGCCACTCTCCCTCGGACATCTCCCGGTCAAGGTACGGGTTCCAGACTCGACCACTGGCGAAGTTATCCAAATAGACCTGCCACCAGACACGGGATGCTGCTGGGACCGTTTCCGTTAAGCACACGAGCCATGAAGGCATGGGTTTTCCCTTCGAGACCATGTGCGATTCGAGCAGTGGCTTCTGAAGCAACAGATTAGTGCTAATCTCCTGCATAATGGCCACGGAGCTGTGCCACCCCATGGGCAATACTTTGCAGGTGAGATAGTAAGACTTCGAGGGGTCCCGATTGATCTGCTTTCCCTTTGCTTTAATCCGAAAAGAGAGGAAGGGTTGCCAGGCTGATGGGATCTTAAACAGGTAAAAAGCCGAAGTCATGTCTGATTGACTGATCTCTACTATATCGCTACCTGTGAGGACCAAATTTCCCCAGCAATGAATGTCCACCAGCCCTTGGTGGCCATATTGCAATGGGAGAAACAGGCCATTACATGGCATTAAGTTCATAATGGTCCTCAAGATCGGTTTGTCTCCATCTGTCCAACCACTCTTCCGAACGCCAAAAAGACCGTTGAAGAGCTGACGGCCTTTATAAGAGAAAACTTTAGACTCTTCTAGCCAGTCACACACCTCCCTCTCTACCAAAAGTTTGCCTACCTCAAAGAGTTCGTCTTTAGCGACGTGGACCTTGGCTTCAAACTTATGGTTAACAAACTCCTTTGGATCTTTCATCAAACTTCGGGGGTTCTGCAGCCAACTCGCGGTGCCCGGCGATACGAAAGCAGTAGCCTCTATACTGCCTCCAAACCCTCGGGGTGGCAGTGCAGGACTCATTTGTTCGACCGTTAGGACCTGTGCAACCTCAACCTCTTCACCTGAGTAGCTAGTATGACACTTCTTAAGCTCCTCCCGGCACTCTTTTGCACCCCAACGGTGACGCTCATTGAGTCTGCCGCTCCTCTCGAGCAGCCCTCGGAGCTCAGCCACAGCATGTTTCTGCAAGGCTGTGGCGCCTCCGTCTGGTAGGAGCTCACAATGTCCAGCCAGCAAGTTGCAGCCGGCTAGACAAGGAATCTCCCAAGCCTCAAGTCGCGGGTTGTCCGCTGGAAAGGTGCCACGCGCATCGGGATTCAAAAGTTCCCTGCGCACTTCATTGCACCTAATTTCTTCTCCCAAGGTCTCCCACGAAGCCACACTCAAAGGGCCTCTGAAGAATGCCTCCGCGGCACCCTTGGGCATCGGCATGAGCGCACGGGACTTCCTCCGTCCCAGCGCCCGAGACGGCACGACAGACAGGCCCAGCCAACTCCAAAGGCTCCGGAGTGGCACGGGCCCTCTTGGCCTATCACACAGCCTCCTCACCAATGTGCTCAACCACCAACCGACTTCCTCCAATGTCTCTGTCTCTTCAAGGCCTTCTCTGACCTCCTCTACGCCGCACTCTCGGGCTTGTCCGGCGGTCCCTCTTGTGTCTGCCTCCAATCTTTCGCTCCTTCCTTCTTTTTGCTTTTCTTTCCTTTCTTGCTTTTGCCTTTGCCTTTGGGCTCTCTGCCTGCCTCTCCATCGTCTGACCATCGAGACGAACTTTTGCCGCTGGGCCACCAGGGTCTTCTCTCGACCACCCCTGAGGCCCGATCGGCCACCTTGGCAAATCTTCTCGCCTGCAAGATCACGTTTGTTCTCGCTGCCGATGTAGCCTCGAGGGGGCGAATCTCCATGTGCTTGGCCGCCCTCCATGAGCCTCCGTCGGCTGTGGCTTGATGTATCGCCATGACTCTCGCCGCAAGCAGGTCTCCGAGCTGATCGAGCGAGCCGCTGCGAAGATGGTCCAGCGCTTGAAGCAGGCAGTACACCTCTCTCGCATCTCGCGTTCGAGTTCCGAGCAGGGGCTTCAGGACTAAGTGCCAGTACTTGATTCCTGACACCCCGGCCGTCACCGACCCTCCATGTGCCTGCGCCCCCTCGTCTAGGTTCTCGAGCGTCTCGGACATGTGCTCCACGAACATCTTGAGAACTGATCCGGCCTTCTTCAAGCTCATCCTCTCTAGGGGAGGTGTAGCTTTGTCGGTCTCCTCGTGACTCTCCTCTTGATCTGATGTGTCGCTGGAGCCACTCTCTGAGCTGGCTTTCGCCTCGCCAGTTGTTGACTCCTCCTCTGCCTCGTCTTCGAACCTCACTTTCCTCTTCCGAGTCACTTTCTCCTTGGGTTTCTTCACTTTCACCCCCAATCCCTTGGCTAGGGTCTGTACCAAGGCTATAGCCGTCTTCGAGGACTTCGACTTCTCCTTCTTCTCCTTCAGCGCTGGGGCCCGATTCGAAGCTTTCGTCACCAAATCCTTCAGCACACCCTTTGGCTTCTCCTTGAACTCCTCTGTCTTCTCCTTCTGCTTTGACTTCTTCAACACGCCTCCTCTCGTATCCATCGATGAACCCTCGGCCAGCTTCTGCTTGCTCTCTCTCCCAGTCCTTGAAGTCTCCCGGGATCTTTCCGCTGCAGGGGTGAAGGCATCGTAGATCTCGCCACCATGTTTGGCTTCTGTTCTTGACTTTGGACCTGCGCCATGACCCATCCTCTGTCTCATCTTGTTCAAGGCGGCCCGCAGTTCGCCTGGTGAGCCAGGCCCCGAGCTTGGGAGTCTCTCCCCTGCGACTTCTTCTCCTTCTTCTCGTTCGGCCTCCTCTGCATCTCTGTTCTCCCAAACTCCTGCAGGCTCCTCCCAACTTTGTTGAATTTCGGGGGCACGGGCACGGTCCGAAGGCCCCCGCCTCGCGGGCGGTGGGGCACCCCGGCCGTGTCCAGCCTCTCCCCAAGAGTCGTCCTCCTCTCCAACTCCTCCTTTGCCCCTCTTCTTGCTGAGCTCTCGACGGCGTCGTTGAAGAGCACGACCAACCTGCGGATCTAAGTGCCTGGTGGCGTATTCGGCTTGCAGGAAGTGACTGACCTTTGTTGCATGAGCCCCAAAACCTTCTGTTTGGCAGCCTTCGAATGAACAAAGATGCAACTGCTGTTTCTTCCTGTTGAAGTTCTGGGTCAACAAGGGTGTGGTGCTGTCCTCGCCTCCTGTCAAACAGGCCACCCTCAAGGCCAAGCCATGCGCATCTCTGTATTCCTTTCCTTCGACCCAGAAAGTCCCCCGGGCCGACGGGAGTCCTTCCACACCAAGCAGCTCTGTGATCTCTAAAATGTCGCTCTCTCCAGGTTCGAAATTCAGCCATTCCTCCTTGTCGATCTCCAGGCCAAAAACCTTTCCTCCTCCTAACTTCTCTTTCTCTTTTCTCCTGCTCATCTCAACCTCTCTCACCTCAACGCTTGCCTCCTCTCAACCAACTGGGCACCGAGAGGACGATGGGTCTCCCGGGTCCGTCCTTCTTGATCTCTCTTGCTGTGGCGTTGATGCTTCGTTCCACCACGGTGCTTCTTTCTCTGCTCTCCTCGGACCTCCTCTTCACTTTCCTCTTCAAAGATCTCTCTCTCCTCTTCTTCGGCCTTCTCTCGCCGAGATGGTGGAGGCCTCGGCGGCGTTCGGGGTCGTTTGACTGGCGGTGCTCCCTTTGGTGTAGAACCTGCGGGTTGGGCTCGGCGTGGATCGGGAACAGGAGGTGCTCGGGCCACCGGTCCTCCTTTGCCAGCCTGTGGACTCGACGCTCGAGCCCCTGAGTCTTCTTCGCCCTGGTTTGCCGCCTTCCTCAGCCCTCTTACGGCACGCGCGGCCGACAACACAATGTCCTCGGCCAGCGTCCGCAGCTCAGGGCGGGGCCACTCGCGCCGGAAATCGGTGGTCGCCGCTTCCAACGACGAGCACCCAAGGCACCAGGAATCGCCCTGAAGCCGCGTGCCAATCCGGCACTTGTTGCACGTGCCGGTTGACATCCACAAAGCCCGACTGAAAACCCAAACGGCAGCGGACAACAGCTAGATCGAACAAAACGTCTCTTTAGACTCTATCAATCTCTTTCAGAACCCCAGGCGACAAGAGTTTCAGCTCGTGACCTTGTAGTTACCAGTGTAAACACTTACCGTATGTTCAAGTAACTGCATGATGCCGGGCCGTTGGTTAGCTTACAACCAACATGTTCTACACGGCCCTGCTGCAAAAACGCCGTGCTGCTGGGGAAACATGGTGAAACCTCTGTGGTTAAAAATGGTGAAACCTTGGCATCTGTGACTTCCCAGACATCCGAGTCTCAAATGAAGTCTCGCTGGCTTCCACACCAAACAACGCGTCCGAGTTGACGAGATCAAATAAATGACTGACTATAAGTTATCCAACCCTTAATCTATCTTAATCTTGACCCTGGGTCCTTATGGTCCTTAAGCACATTAAGCACATCAATCACTCAACTCATATACCACTTATCCTCCCAGAGGTGTTTCTGCATTTTGTTGGTGGCTTTGACATACTCTTCTGCGGAGGTATAGTACCTCCCCACACTTCGATGGGATTCGCGAGTCCCCATGATTCCTGCCCGCCACGGCACTGAGACTTTGCTGGCTGCTTCCAGTGCACCGCGACTCTGCCGCTTCTCCCCGCATGTCGTGCTCGTCCACGCAGGTTGTGCACGATGCACGGCACGCGGCCGTGGGCCGGGCGACCGCATCGGCAGCGGCATGGAGACGTTCAGCATGACGTCGCTCGGGGATGGAGTGGGCCTTGAGTCGGACCGAGTCGGCGAAAGCGGATGTATCACCCGTCGGAGAAAGGGGAGTAACTGCATTGCCCGAAACGTGGCGCCCCCCTGATATTTCGGAGATTACAGTATTGGACGTGTCAAGCACTGGGAGACAGCCAGGAGAAAACGACCTGCAGCGGTCAGACCACTGGCAAAAGAAGATATGCCTCGACGGACTCGGGAATTCGGTCCTAGGGCCTTGTGCTGCCTGATGAAGGTGGCTCAGTTCCTTCCCCACCCCTCCATGTATGGAATGTAGGCTATACCCCAAACCCTGAAACCACCAGTTCGTATGCCATACGGCCATACACTGGACCATGGGGTGTCTGGTGTCGCTCTCTTTGTCCAGTCCATCCAATGGATCCACGACGTCAGCTGCGCTTTCAGGGGCACCGAGGGTGGCTTTCAGAGTTCTGAGTCGCGATCAATGCCAACGTCTGAGGCTCCGTGACGCTCCAACTATGTAGTGGGGATCCAAGCTATACGATCTATACGATCGGACCTTCCAACAAGTGGTTTTTGGAAATTATCCCTTAATCTCTCTAGAGCTCGAGGCTATTTAAATCTATTTGGCGGGCATATCTACAACTCGAATTACTTCAAGCTCTTCCAGTTGTATGATGTATGGCCCCAACAACTCCACTGTACTGGAACATGGAATCCGAAGAATCGGAATATACAAAATAGTAGACTCTTTCTGAATCCTTCCAGCCCCATACATTCCTCCCTAAGAACTCAAGGACCCTCGAAGGAGGTGAAGCTTGGGATCCAAACCCGGAAACTCGCAGGGTCCTTGGACCCTCCAGTTCGGGCTCCGGACCTCCGAACCCGGTGGAAACCGGTCTTCACGGCAACGACCGGGGTCCCACGCCTGACGGACGTCGCAACGTTGGACCTGGACGATGCGGAGTCGGTAGCTCTGGATCAAGGCCTCGATCGGACCCGCTGCGGAGTCGGTGCTGCTTCTACGGAGTTCCAGGTTCCGCGTTTGATTTTCTTCGCGGACGTTCATTGGGGAATACTGGAGCGGTTGATTTGGTACCTATCTCCTGAAAAAATCAACCAACCAAAAGGAAAAGGCCAGCTATGGCTAGAAATCCTCGGACAGATTTGACGATCTAAGATGATCCTGAGTGTGCCAGGTGTTGACCCTCAGTCTTTTCTCCAGGGCTTTGAACCTTCAGCACCTGTTCACTATCCAAAACCTCTTCTACAAAGGGTGTGACGACGAGCATCGGGGTTTCTCACACAAATTGTTTGGCCAACATCGTGTTTCTTGGCACTCCAAAAGAATCTTGTTGATTCATGTCTTGGCCCTGAATGGGTATGGTTCTCTCTCTCTCTCTCTCTGCCCAGCTCCCATGCTGCACAAAGAGAATGATATGAGCGGCGATTTATTTGGTACTAAACTTAAATACACTATCTATTATGTGGGGGCCCTATCTCGTTTAGACTACTTATTAAGTAGGGAGGTCATGTCACAGTATCTCGTTCAGACTACTTTAGTAGCAAATCACACTATCTCGTTCAGACTACTTTAGTGTAATCAAACAAAAGTAGCTCGTTTATGTGGGGGCCCTATCTCGTTCACAAGCGAACACTGATGATAGACAAGGAAATAGAGCATGCCGTAGACTACTTTAGTAAAGCCTAAATAAAAGTGGTTGCTCATATAAGTTCCAGTTATGGTGCACAGCAGTTCACCATACACAGAGCGGAACATCACTGAAGTTCTTGAAACACTAAAGATCGCACATTATAGTGAAAGAGCGTGAACAAAGACAACGTGGCCAAATGAATCGGCTTTGCATTGAAGCCATGGGATTTTCCCTGACCTTTGAAATAACAGTTCATTTGTGGTGCTCGTAACAAACATGGAATACAGTTGGTTGGGTTGCTTTCAGACCATATGCCTTTGGACTATCACTTAAGAAACATGCACATGTCGGACTGACCACCCGATGATCTTCACATGCGGACTGACCCAGCCAACCCAGTCATGTTTGAGATGAACCCAAATGCATCCATTTACGGCAGGGCCCGTTCACGTCAGTACATGTTTCATTGAAAACACACTAGTGCAAAGGGTGATTTGTGCAATCAAAACACTGTGAACGCTGCATATCAAACCGCATATCCCCTTGAATCAATAAAACCGTACGTTTGGACAACATCCGGGTGAACACATTGTCCTGGTTTGGTGTTTCGTTGTGGTGTTTCAACTTCCTGGTTTGCTCACCCCCTTCTATTCGCTGTTTAACCAAAACACAACGTCTCGACTTCAGCAACTGGCAGTATGGAATATTACCTGGACCATCCAATGGGTGTCAATGGAGATCCCTAAGCAGTGCAGGGTAGTTGATTGGACACCCATTGGATGGTCCAGGTATAATTGCACCTGCAACACTGACCCCTGAACTACCCCAATGTATGCAAATCGGCATGGAGTCTCTGGGATGAGTCAGACGCTGGTCGATGGAGAGTTCCAGAATCCCCTTTTCAAAGGACTCCCAGTTTCGGATGCCACCCCGAAAAGGGTTAAAGTATTTGGCCTTTGGATGCCTTTGGAAGTTCCAAGTGTGGCTTCTGGGATCGGCTGTCCTTTGGTTCAGTTCATTTCGCAACTTTTTGGGATCCAACATGACCCAACCCTGTTGCGTGAATTGAAAAAACAGGGACAGCAAAAAATACGCAAATTCCCCAGTTTCTAAGGGATGAACACTCAGTTTGGGAAGACTACCAAGCACCCGATCCCCAAACGATCTGTTGCTTTTGTGTCCTTCGTCTTCCTTTTCAGACTGTAAAGATCGGCTTCGATCCTCCATCAAGTTCAATCCCAGTCAACGATGCGGCCGCGAAAAAGCTGTCCAGTAGTCGATGTGATGTGACCTGCGTTCGGTTCCTGACTTTCTGGAAAGACCATGTGATGAAAAGACATCCTCACGCATCCAATCACATCCACAGAAAGGAGTTTGAACTGTTGGAGTCTCCTAACCCACCAGAAATGCCTTCTCAGGAAGTCGTTGGAACCACAAAGGTGCTGGAATGTTCCTTATAAGGCACGAGGACTCAACCATGTCTGCCTTCGCACTGCAGTGGATGTTCCTTTTCCCAGTTTGGGAAGGACCAACCGCAAAGAAAACTGTCACCCAGTCTCATCACAAAAAGTCGCATATCCCAGACGCTCCATGTATGCCATATTTGCCGATCAGTTGGGGTGGTTTAGGGGTCAATGTAGGTAAATATGGCAGTCCCATAAGTCGCGTCTGGGCAAAGAGTCTCTTTGCAGCCGAACATCTCCCAACTCTCCCCTCTTCACCACGGGGCGTCCCGAACCCCGTGGCCAACCTCGGCCACTCCGCGAACCCCCCCCCCAGACGGGGTCCGCGCCGCGTCGCGGGAGCTCCGCCCAAGGCGCTTGGAGCTCCATCGCCGTGGGGCCGTGGAACGACGCGGAAGGCGCAGAACGACGTTCCGCCGAGGCGCCGCAGCCTGAGGCGCGGCGCGAAAAGGCGCACGCGGGTGAAGGAGGCTTGTGGGTGAGGTTGGGTGAGGTGAGGTTGGAGTGAGATGGGTGAGGTGGGTGATATTGGGTGATATTGGGTAATGGTACTGACTCATATATAATTGGCTCAAGGAAGAAACCGTCCGTCTCGTCGTGAAGATTGACATTCACAAGTTCAGACTGGTCTAGTGACTTCAACCACTGCTTGGATTTGATGTACCATGACCACCCAGTTGAGATTCTGAGATCCCTAAGCAGTATATAGGGTAATCCATATATATCCATATAGGATTTCCATAGGACACCCAAACAGGATGCTCAATGCTCCTGGTAGAACTGAGGAGTCTTAAGAGAAACAACGCATTCTGAGACGCCGCGAGGTGAGATACAGGGTCACTTGAAGAGATATGGTTGTGGGTCATGGCATCCGGAGACCGACCGGTTGACCTGGTGTCCGTTGTTCGCTACATGGTGGACGACTGTCGGGCTCCAGGTGCCATACTCCCATCCCCACTCCCATCCCCATAGATGAGTTTGAATGACACAAACTATCTGCTTATTTCATGACACATAATACCCATGTATATGACACACATGTGTGTTCCAAACCAATATTATCTGTATCGTTGTACTCGAGAGGCAGGGTCATTGAGTTATACTTCATTCTGGATAGAACTTTAGCTCATGGTTATGAGGACACGCAGCAAGCAGCTTTCGATCTGGCCTTACTACCGTTTCGTGCGGAGCTAGCGGAGCGATGCAGAGATCATCACTCCTCCATGGATGGTGTGTTCTACCCCTGAATCCAAGCAACCCATAGTTCACAAAAAGTTCGTAATCAAAAAGAGCGTGTCATCTCTGAGCCCAAAGAGGCTGCGAGAAATGGCAAAGCTGCACAAAAACACGACCTAAGAACCAATATAGCGAGCTATAGCGATCCGTGCAGGCTCAAATTCTGCACGCCGCGCAGTCCAACTCATGGGATTAGCATGAGGACTTCGCTCAGCCCGGATGAAAAAGCCCGGCAAGCCCGGACGGCTCAACCAAAAACCCGTTCCAAATTCGATCTGTCGAAAGGAGAGCAAAACAACCCACAAATCGATTGCACCTCCGATCGCATCCGATCCGCAGTCCGATCCGCACCGTTCCGCATCGTCCCAAGGACCGAGAAAAGAGATGGTCCCGGTCATGAGACGAACGGGACGAACGGTTTTTGAGTTCCCCCCAAGAAGGGCTTCTCCCTCCAGGTCTGGGAGGCTTGATTCAACAGTCAACCATTGCGTCAAAGGGTTCTTTTTGAAGGGGAACATTTGCACCATCTGTTCACAAGGTCCCCTACACTCCGTCCCCCGTGACCCACCTGAGAGGCGGAAGATCTCCTGTAAGAGGCATTGGTCATTTAAAGAAACACAGTATAACAAAGCGCTGTTTGACGGTTCAGTTGTTTGGGTCCGGAAAAAACATCAGCACTGAAACATGTTTCATCATGGAATAGAGTGGGAAACTCTCCCAAATACAGGACCTGCTCTGAGCAGGAACACTCACAACCCCTCAAAAGCACACACACACACACACAAAAAAACACCCCTCCGGTCAACTCCTTCTGTCCCGGCAGGCCTGGAAGCGCCTCTCGTGCCAACTGGGTCTCCACTAAAGAGTCATCCTTGGTAGCCAGCTGGGAATCTGAAGCCAAACAAAAACAAGATGACACCAATCCCATCCAAACCCAAACTCTCCATGTCATGAAAAACGAGACCTCCTCATCGAGGCACATCGCGATCTTCTCCGTCTACCGAACGGCTCGTCGCACACACCGGTGGCTCGTCCAAGGTCGGAACAGCGAGGTCCGGCGATCGTCGGGCCGATACCATGCCACCTGCACTCGTCCTTCTCCTCGTCCGAAGTGAATTCAGACCGGACTCGGCGGCTTCATCTCACCTTTACGCTCACCACCTCGATGCTGATCTCAGAGTTCGGCGGGATCGTCGATGCGCCTGCGCCAGGGCGGGTATCCTGGAACCTCCCACGTGAAGTCTGTGTCCATGCCGCGTCGTAAGTCGAGCAGCTTCGCTGGCTCTCCTGTCGCGTCATCGCTGTCGAGGACCTTCGCTGAGACGAAGCAGTTGCTCGTAACGAAGTCGCGATGGGCGGCGAGCGTTTTCGCTGGTGCCAGCGTGAGCGTGGCAGAGGTAGCTCCCACGGTCGCCCGGAAGTCAGAGAGTCGATCTCGCCGCTATTCAGAATTGCTCAAGAGAATCTTCACGGCAGCTCCGACGGGTAAGTATTTCTTAAGTATCAATTAGACAAATTCAATCACCTAGATCGGAGAGGTGTTGGAATTATGCCTGCTGACCTTGTCCAAAATAGCAGAATTTTACTAGACCACAGCATTCACTTGATGAGCTATGGCCTTTTTTTTGACATTTTTTGACTGAGCATGTCAGGTGTTGACTCATCCTTTACGTGAGGGAGAGCATTTACTTGAGGGAGTTTGGCCAAAGAGCGCTCCCGAAAACCGCACAGTTGCTGCACCCAAACACTCCGTATATGAACATTACGGTGGTGTTAGGGCTAGGTGCAGTCCGTCCCCCAAAGGTGTCTGGGGAATGAGCGCCTGGTCGATCACCCCTTGGTGGACTATTATTACTGACTGTACCATGTGACATGAATCTAAACAAAAAACAAAGGAAGACAACTACAGACAACATGAAATATTAAGAGCACCTTGATATTCTTCCCGGAGTTTGAAGGATCTCTTGTGCATCTCTTTCTGACTCTTTCACCCGCCAAAGGCTTCTTCATGCCCAAGCGGCCGCTAAGCTGGCCAAGACCACCAAAGCCTGGCACAATTTTCAGCTGACAAAGGGATTGGACATCTCCAAACTTTCTATTGTGTCATTTGATAACAGGCCAAACCCACATCGACATTTTCACGGAACATCCACATCCTTATTCCCCTGACACTCCTTTTGTCTTCCGCCCGACTTGGCCCGGCGCCGCTTTTTCAACACAACACCCGAAGGGCGGAGCAAGAATCCGGGGGCAAGAGTTCGGAGGGGTCTTCTTTGTACTCTAGCATCATCAATCCCAGACACTCCATGGGACTGCCACATATATATATATGTGTGTGAGTCTACATTGATCCCCCAAACCACCCTACAAGTAATGTAGGCCAAGTAATGTAGGCATATATATGGCATACATGGAGTGTCTGGGATTGATCTTTGTGTGGAGGGTTTTGACATGATTTGACCCTGCATAGCAAAGGGGTTGGACCCGAACCAAACCTGAAACCTTGAAGGTCCATGATTCTTAGGGTGAAATAGACATTTATTTGAATCCCTTTCAAGCAGAAAGCATACATCCCATATCCCATTCAGATAATCTTGAACAAGTCACGAATCCAAACCTTCCAGATGCTTTTAAACCCTATCATTGGCGATGTTTTCAATCTTTGGCTTAAACCCGAAATTCACTGAGGGGCTTGGGCCTCTCCAAGTCTTTGGCCAAGATGAGCATAAGAAAATATTGCCCCAAACCTGAATATCTACACCGCTGATTTTCTTTTCAACACCTCAATTGATCAAACAAGTGTCTTTGCAGGCTGCACCGTCGGTCAAACATTGGATCCCCACAACGAACGACACGTCAGTCATCGTCTCTCGATCCCTTAGCCTTTGCCCGTCCTTAGATCTTCTGCTCAGGGTTTTGACCTTCAGGATGGTTGTAGTAACATATAGTAAATCCCTATGAACCAACCGGGCTAGGGGCCTGTAGGCCTTTTGGACGTTGGACAACAAATCAGACCACAGGACCTCAAACTGACACAACCCAAGTGGCCCTTCAGTGCGTGACCTCTTTGGAGTCACCCGTTTTCCGATGTTTTCTTTGCCTCGAAGAGGTAGAAGCCATGCACTAGCCGCCTCACTGCGAGCCACTGCGAGCAGTGCTTGGCAGTGAGCAGTAACCCGATGCAAACATGTGTGCAGTCTGCAGGGTGGGAGCTTGATGTGCCTCAAAAAATCCAGCCTGAATACGTGATGTGGTTCACACCTTCCCAGCTTTAACAAAAACGTGTTCGAGCTGTTTGTGTTCCAAGGCTGCGATGAAAAGGTTCAACCAAAACAGTGATTCTACCATGTGATACCTAACGTGGCAATGATTAAATGATATTGTATGAAATGTTCTTACATTTTTTACAAATCATCAATCACATAACACCTTTTGATCGACAGTACCCCTTCATAGATCAAAACACACATGAACATCGTGTAGTCTACCAGGACCCCCACAACAGTTCTTTAGATGCCTTTATGACCCCAACAGCTTGACCAAGGCACTGTAACTCTTACCCGAAAACACGGACCTTGGAGGCTCCATGAAGACAAGACTTGCTCTAGTAAGGAGTCTAAAGCTTGACGGTCGCCCAACGTCACTGAGGCCCTGAGTTGAAGAATTCGTGCCGTGTGCACGAGCACACTAGTGGAAGGGGGGTGAGTCACGTGACGTGCACAAAAATGGAGGCCGCCTGCCAGCTTCCCCCAGCTGCTGGCAGTTCTGCTTCCAGAGACCTGGCAGGTTGGCGTTTAAGTCCGAGCAGACCACCCAATAATTTTTTCCTGCAGTCATGTCTGCAATCAAGAGACAGGTCTGATATGGTGCAGTAGCATCTGTGTATATGCTAAGTAGTACACTATGTAGTGCAGGTCACATGCCATCGGTGTATGCTGCCATGTTTCCTCCTCAGCTAGTGCCCCTTCTCTTGTAGCTTCAGTTTTGTTCTTGCTGCTGTGTAGTGCGGAGTGGTGCAGCGGCAGCTGTGTTGTCAGGAGTGTGTAGTGGTTCGTAAATGATCACCGTTTACACCTTGGAGACTGCTCAGCCAGCTATCTCATCTTTTGTAGCCCACCCTCTAGTAGGTTCAAAGCCTAAAGCCTAACGTACAAGCAAGATTAGCACATCTGTAGTGTCCATAAACTGTAGAGCACTTTTGACATCCGCTTCGTTTTCCATGCCTTTTGATTACTGTTTGTTCGTGAATGGTTATATGATGTTTTTCAGGAATTCTGTAATGTGTTCTTGGCACGACCTATCTCTATAGATTTTCTTTGTCCTGCTTGCGCTTCTCCTGCCAATTCCATCCGCCGCGAACAATCTCCAGCTTTTTTGACTCATGTCAACGTCTTGGTGAACGGTACTTGGTTCCTGTCCAAGAGCTTGAGCTGTTTCAAAAGGTGCTTCATCCATTTATTGAAGAACCAAACACAGTCAACCACGCGTCATCCGACCACGCGTCATCCGACCACGGTCGCCTAGCAGCAAGGCCGTCAAGATTTCCAGGCGTCTGTGGGGTGTGGCCTCCAACAAACACACCGCCTTGGAGGGCGGCGGAGATCGTCCAAGACAATTAGATCATCTAAAGACCTCAAGACCCATTTCCAACCACTGAAGACCTTCACGGCCTCCAACCTCTCACGGTGTGGCACCCAGTTGGAGCGAGAAAAAGCGGACAGGCTCCGGTCGGTGACCATCTCAGGTCGGAGCCAGCTTTCCAGAACTCTCCTGACGCACCGCATCGGAACGCATCACGGTGACCTCTGAGGCCTCTGGGATGCACTGGTGACAGTAGGACAAGGTGTAATTGAACCACTCTGTCTCTTTCTCTATTATATATGTTTAATATATGTGTATAACCTTTTAAGAATTACAGTAGTTAAAATACAATACAAAACAAAAACATACATTGATGATCCAATATAATACGTGATTATAATTTGTGCATGTGGGCATGTATATATATATATATTATATTGCAGTATATTCATCCATTCTTTGCTGATGAAGTAGAAGCCGTTGGGATGACACTCGGCTTGGA